TAACACATCCGAAAATGTGTGTTACACAATCCGTAAGGCCTAAGATGATGAGCACTCGTTCTGAATCAGGGTGCTGCAACACTTTGTCTTTTGGTGACGATCACTGCTTTGATTAGGCAGAGACTGTTGTCTCTGAGGATTAAGATTAAGAAGTAGAGGAAGTATCATTCAAAAGGCCTGAGGTGATAAGCACTCATCATGGAATAGGGTATCACCGTACTTTACGTCTATGGTGATCACTGTTTTGATCAGGCAGGAACTGAAATATGTTCTTGTTGCTCAGATTTAAAAAAAAAAAAAAAAAAAAAAAAAAAAAAAAAAAAAAATGTGCTTGATAAAGTTTCACTGAAGTTGTAGAGGTGAACATCAAATAGACATGACTGGTGGTTTCAGAAGTGTGTGAGTGTGAGTAACTTGTGAGATAGGAGCTTGATTATCTAGCTAAATGAATCCGTTTGTGACAGCTACTCGGCTGAGAAATAGCTACAGATTGGAGTTACTATAATGACTTATATTCGTTTGTTCTTTTTGAAGGTTACCTAGACATATGTGAAACTAGATGTGGACTTGCAATCTTTTTGGAACAGTAGCTAAGAGCATGTAAATAGTTTATCCGGCAAATGTTAGTGCTAATTAAGTTGATTCTTAGAATAAGTATGTTCGATTAAGACTAGAAGATCTCATTGACTGAATGAATGTGTCTTGCTTAGAGTGTTTCTCATGAAAAAGACTATGATTAGAAGAAAACTCGATTGCAAGAACTATTGGGCCGGTTAAGGGTCGTTTTAATTACTAATGCACTAACGGGCTTTTCCAAAAGTGGGTATTTGCCTTTTTGTGCATCTTGTTTCCCTCTTAGGTTCTATCGCCGCCGCGGATCTCACTTTATCTCATCTCTCTCGCCATGCATCAGCGAACTCGCTCCCGTCGAGGAACCTCCGGGTCTCCGCAAACTCCTTCTTCCGATCCAACATCTGGCACTCCTAAGAAGAGATCTCGCTCTGAAGCTGGTGAATCAAGTCGCCGCCGATCGAGTGAATCTATCTCCTTCCTTCCCAAAGAACCACGGTATGACGAAGGTCGCCGCATGTTCGAGGAGACACTCCTAGAAGACCCTGAAAGTTATCAACCTCCGGCTGAGCCATACAGTCCTATGTTTGCCACCGAGGAAGCTTATGAACGATACCTGAAGTTTGCCGATAAGAAGCTCATCGATCATCAGTATCTCCCTCTTGATGATGAAAAGCTGCAGGAAGTCAAAAAGGTTGTGGTGCAGTCTGGGATGATTTACACAGCCATTGATGGTGAGCCGTATGTTCCTGATCTTGTGTGGGAGTTCTTAGCAAATCTCCAAGACGCTACAAATGTCCGTAATGGTGGTGGAGTGGCTGTCTATGTACGTGGAGCCATGTATGAGGTGTCTCCAAGCATGATTGATCTTATGTATGCTATAAGCCCCGGAGACCCTAACTACGATATGTACTCCGAGAATCTTGATACTGTGGTCACGTTTCTCACTGGGGGACGACACCAAAGATGGGAAGGAATGTGCTCAAAACTTCTCACGTCTGACAATCAAGTGTTGTACAAACTCTGTTGTACAAATTGGATGCCTACAATGAACCACACACGCATGCATCCAGATCGCCTCAGGTTTCTCTATGCGCTTCACCATAACAAGCGAGCTGACTTTGGTATTCTTGCATATGAGCAGCTCATGGATATGGCTCACTCAGCTGACGATAGTAAGCGAAGGATTGGGTTTCCCTCTCTCATTCATCAGTTGTTGCACTTTCAGCGGGTTGTGCCTCGTCATGAAAGAGATGAAGAGCTCACAGGACATCCCACTGCTCTTGTCAAAGATGGTAAAGCTGGCAGAGGTATAGGGGGAGTCAGCAAACCACCTAATCTGGTCGACGATCTTCAGAAGGTTATCAATGACATCCGAGCAATTCAACTTCGCAGTCGCAGTAAGTGTTTTTCTCTCCTTCCCGTTTATTTATCTTACATGATTGTTTTATCTAATGATGCACTCAAGCAGGGGGAGAGTATGTTGGAGAGCCAGTGCATATCATTGATAGCGGTGATGAGGAGGAGGAGGAGTAGTATCTCTAGTAGTTTCTAGGTTGCCGTATGATGTTTGTTTTGGTTTCAATTATGCAGTGTGGTTGAACTTTCTAGAACTAAGTGGTGTGTAATCTTAAATGCTCTAGACCTTATCAATGAATGCATCTGATTTCGGGTTACTTTGATTGTCTGTACACGAGTTCGTTGTTGGTTGTGGCTTTTGGTTTGTGTGATTTATGACAGGTGCTTGAGATGTCACATTAAGATAAAAAGGGGGAGAATGTAAGCTCAGGGTTCTGAGCATGATGATTGGAGTGTTACACAGGCAGGAGACTGTGTCACACACAAGTGAGCTCAAGTTGAGTTGAGTGAGAAAAGGCTGAGGTGTTACACAACGTGGAGCGTGTGTTACACCAGGAGCGAAATACAAGGAGCCGTTCGGAAGATAATGACTCAAGATTCTAGGATATTTGTTGGGAANTGAGCAAGTGGTGAGGTCTGTCTCGACCACTGTGCATTTGGGTAGATTAAGAATTGGTCCGTCTCAAGTCAAGTTTGTGACGTTGAGTAAATCGGATTAAACAGATCTTGTAGGATTGTTTAAGTGATTCTTAATAAATCAAGTTTGTTTTCTTGGATTTGGTCAAGTGACTCTTTTGTGGTATTCATACGAGATTTCAGGAAGCACCTCGATTAAACAAGCCATCATATCGAACAGTGGCACCATGCTTATTGTCAAGATGGCGTACAACAGAAGATAACACCAACTGTGCCCAAACTTTGGGCATCTCTGTCCCTTCTCTGAACCAAATCAACAATTAATTAAGGATGAAGGACCTCACAAACAGAAAACATATTTAAAAACAGGGAAAAGTTGAGAATATGGAGTTAGTTACTTGGTCAACAGAATCTGGATCTTTTATTTCGGTCTGACAATCATGCAGCTAGGGCTATTACAACCGCTGACTGCATTTCCCACGTCTTTGTAACTTCGTTTACCCAGTTACAGTTTTGCTCCTCTCCGTCCTCGCAAAGATATGTGAAAACTCTCCCGTAAACCACACCTGAGGAAACAAACATGAAAAAACACTGACGAAAACATTCAGCTAAGTGAGATTGACTAAATTTGGAAGATGAAAAGAACCAGTTGTAGTACCATCGCTGAAAGGCATTGGAGGCCAGATGCTCTAAGGCACCGCTTTTGATGGTCGTCACCTTCTACACGAGCCACTGAGCAAACTTTTCAAAGCTGTGCGTGTAAGTTCCATCAACCTATTCATACATGACGAACAGTGAGATATTTCACATTTTTCAACATGGTCTAGCATTAGTGTAGAAGTTATTAACTTAGTCAATGATTAAATTCTGTCAAACTCTCTCCAACTAAGGTCAGAATAAAAAGAGATAAACACACAGATACTAGAAAACGCTACTAATTTACCTGACTGTAAATGAACCTCGTCAAAGTTTGGCACCCAAGCATGGTCAAAGTTTGGCACCCAAGCATGGTCAGTCATTTCCCACGTCTTTATAACTTCATTTAACCAGTTACAGTACACACCCAACTCTATGTCTTCAATAGGTACGAAGTAGAATTTTGTCTCAGGTGCAGCAGCCATCGTGGCTTGAATTTGTGTTTCCTGGATTACTACATAGGAAGCTTACAACATCCCTCACCTCTACCACTTCTGTAATTTATCAAGCAAGAGAGAAGCATCAGGTTCGCATATATATAGTACATATAGATTCTTAGAAATTAGACATTCTTAATATTGGTTTTAGAGATCTGATCAAAAACTAAGATCATGAGTAACGGGTAAAAAGAAACACTTTATATAACACACACATTCACTTTATTGTCAAGAAGACAGGAATAACAAGTTTAGGTCTAATAATACAAAAGCACGATAAAACAACATCATGGCAATAGTAATGAGTTTGCGACTGGACCACCACACACACAGAGAGCACGAAAGAGTGTTGCAACACTCATAATAGGGAGCACGAAAGCTTTAGTAACTCCTGCCCCAGTAGCTCCACTTCTTTGCCGGCTTTCCTGACGCAAAGCATAGAGTGTCTGCAAGGGAAGGAAAGTGTCACGAGAAATGAAATTAAACCTGTGGTGGTATCAACGAGTAAATAAAGCTGTCACAAGAAAAAAACCTTCGTTGAGGTCAGGCTGCTCAAGAGGGGTGCATAGAGTCTTCGCTCCTGCTCCAGTTTCAGTTTTGGTACGCTCCTTAACAAGCTTCTCCACTTCAACTTCGTCACACCAGGGAGCTAAGATCAGTTTCTTCTGGCTGAGAGCCTCCATGAAATCGTCCCAGTTTTCAACCTTTTGAGTGCAAGCATCCTTACCTCTCTTGGCCGCATCAAAGAGGCTTTGCTGGATTTTACCGAGCATGTCCTTAACTTGTTCAATCAGGTCTCCTCTCGGGAGATCAGCCTTCGCACCATTGTCACGCCTCACTATTCTCACCTGAACCACAAACAAAAAGTAGTTAAGGCATGAGAGAACTGAAATGTCTGAATAAATCTCAAAGTATAACTCAATGTATTCTCTCTCCCAACAACTTGTTTGCCAAAAACTGACCTGATTCTTAGCAAGATCCCTGGGACCAATTTCGATCCTCAATGGGACACCCTTTTGTTCCCAGTCAGCATACTTCCAGCCGCAGGCATAGGTGTCGCGGTTATCTGATTTAGCGCGGATTCCAGCAGCGAGCAAGGTGGATTTAACAGCCTCGCATGCTTCATAGATTATGTTGACATCGAAACCATTGAAAGGAACGGGTATCACAACGACTTGAACAGGTGCGACCAAAGGAGGGAATACCAAGCCCTTGTCATCTCCATGGGTCATAACCATGACACCAATCTGTATCAAAGTTGGATGATTAGAGACAGCACAGAGAGAGGCAAACAAGTGACAGCAAGCAACAGGAGAGGCTGTAATAAATTACCGATCTGGTACTGATACCCCACGAGTTCTGCCACACTAGTGATCTCTTAGTCTCCTTCTTTTCCAACTTCCTCTCCTTATTTTCGAAGGAGATGCCAAAGATCTCGGCAAAGTTTTGTCCCAAAGAATGAGAGGTTGCAGCTTGTATACCACGGCCAGAGCTTGGGATGAAAGCCTCGACGGTGGCGGTGTAAAGTCCACCGGCAAACTTTTCATTCTCACTCTTGATCCCTTTTATAACAGGGACGGCAAGGAGTTTCTCGTAAATGTCGCTGTAGATTTGCAAAATATCAAACACCTCCTTATCTGCCTCGGTTTTGGTGGCGAAAGCGGTGTGCCCTTCCTGCCAAAGGAACTCACGGCTCCTGTGGGATTGATTGAGAGAGAGTGGTAAGAATAGAGAGTTGGCAAGTAAGTAAAACAAGAAGAGCAATGTATATACCTGATAAATGGAATAGGGTCGCTAAACTCCCACCTAACAACATTAACCCACTGGTTAATCTTCAATGGAAGATCACGGTGTCCCCTAATCCACTTGCTAAAGTAAGGGTAGATCACAGTCTCACTGGTTGGGCGTACAGCAATGGGTATAGACAGCTCAGATTCGCCAGCTCTTGTAACCCAAGCAACCTCAGGAGAAAACCCTTTAATGTGGTCCTTCTCTTTCTCAAGACAAGAAGGAGACACAAACAGAGGGAAATAGTATTCCTCCACGCCCATCTTCTCAATTTCAGCATCAAAGAAAGCTCGCAGAATACCCCAAACCTTCACAGCGGGTGGCTTGAGAATGTAGCAGCCCTTTATATCGTAGTAGTCAAGCATGTCACCGCATCTACATACCTGGGAGCATAAGAGAGAAATCAGATTGTGGGTTTTTGGATACAAATAAGAATCTGAAAGATCATGGAGCCATACCTCAGAATACCACTTGCCAAAGTCCTCGTCTTTCTTTGTCGAGATGCCAAGACGGGTCTCCTTCTTTATCTCTTTCTGCAAAGAGGATTGTCCATTCACACGTACAGGGGTAGAACTACTTTTCAGCACCTGTGTTCGAGAGACCAACCAGAAATTCAGATGCTTTTGATACAAAGAAGAATCTGAAAAACAAATAATAATAAAAACCATTTTTTTACAAACAATCCCTTACCACAGAATTCTCATCAGAGGTTGACCCCAAGGCCCTTTTGCCTTCCGTTGATTGCACAGACATCGCCATCTCTTGTCGGAGATTACGTTTATCAGTTCTTCGATCCGAACCCTAGAAACGCAATCCCTAGCTTGCTTGCTTGCCCCTTTTTTTCCCGCGGCGCCTATGCGAATTAAGCTTGCCTTTTATTCTCACCTCTTTCGTTTTACCCCACCCCCGAGTGTTTATTGGGCCTCTTCGATTGACTCATCTGGCCCGTCACAAAGTGTGTGTTCAATGTTTATGATTTACAAATAATATTAAAACTTGATGCTTTGTCTATTTTCCAAATTTAATTTAAATAAATATTTTAAGACTTTTTCAGAAAAATTAAAAATATATCATTCCTTTTGTAAACGTTAATATTAATTTTTTTTCATAAAATGTATCCTCTTTTAATGTCAAATATAATAAAAACATTTGTACAACTTTGAAAATTTACAAAGAGTTTTCATATATGTTGATATAATCTTTTTTAACAAGCAGATCAAACAACTATTTTTTCTCCATGGAGCGATGGGCTCCCCATATCGGCGATACATTTCCAAATGTGATGACCTTCTAGATATGTGCTACTGGTATCCCTACTCACTTTTGGCTTGACCCTATTTTTTGCACTTTAGGAGGAAGATTAGGTTTAGTTGGACTAAATTTCAAGTGGAAATTAATGTGGACTTGCCTCTAAAATTTTCTCTGCGAGCTCGCCTTCCGTCTGGTGAAACTGTTCCGTTGAAACTTGAATACATAAACTTTCACCGATGGTGTCTACACTGTCGCCACATCTCCCATGAAGTTGATACCTGTCCTGAGCTTTCTGAAGAACAAAGAAGAGCGTTTAGACAATCTCGAAAATCTGAAAGAGATCAAGAGAAACCAGCAAGGAAAGATCCCACTAGGAGCAACGAACCTGCAAAGAAGACCGCTAGGCATGCAATGGCTGACTCTCACAGGGTCAATAGGGACAGTGTGGAAACACATGGATTCCCGGTTCCCCCCGTGATGATCACCGTTCTGAGTCTCGCCTTGATTTTTACCCTAGGGGAAGAGATATCTCTGATCGTCACAAGGGGTCATATGACAAGAAGAGCCAAGATATGGGAACCTACAATAAGCGTCGCTATGAGGATTCTTATACCTCAAGCAAACAAAGAGAGAAGGAAAAAAAAAACGGAGGAAAGAGTGAACCGGGAGCTTCCCAAGTTGGATAGTGATCGAACTTCAGGTAATAACCAAGCACTGACAAAAAAGGATGCAGTCACTGACCGTTCCCATGGGTTACCTCCGCTACCTTCCTTGCATAAACCTCCTGCTGAGACCGGAATGGAGATTCGATACACCTCATCTTCCCCGGAGTACCAACAAGAAAGACCGTTTAAGCTATCTCTACAAAAGCGTTCAACCGATGATCAAAAGCTTAAACGTATCGTCACTGACTTTGACGATACCTTCGACGCAGGAAGCTCGGCTAAAAAGAGCCTTAAGCTCGGCTAAAAAGAGCCGTTTTTGGTTCTGGAAATCACGTGTCATGTCTATATCAGTAGAGGAGACAAGCTGCGTTGAAGGAGGAAGAAAAGTATGTTTCCTAAGTCTTGGATGTCTAAAGTTCAAGATAGACATGAGCAGTATCCAGGAAAGAGCTGTTGTATTTTCTGGATCTATTGTTAACATTGTGGGGTGAACTTGGAGAACTATTGAGAAAGAAAGTAAGAACGAAAGGTTCCTGAGGCGGCAGAGGAACCATCATGTCCTACAGAAGCATAATTTTCACCAACTAAGGGTCATGGATAAGCGAAGGACAAGCAGACTTTTGGATGCTCGATCTTTAAGAAAAGCATGGCTTTGCAGCTGTTCATATATGGACAAGGTATGCAGAGAAAACGTCAAAGTCATGGCCGTTCAAGTGCAAAACTGCAGCAAAGAAGAAGAGTGAACATCATCTTCAGCTTATGTACTTAACAGTGCACGCCACAGAAAAGAAGATAGTAGTGTGAATGCATATTACGCGTTGTATGTTGCAACCACAACGATTCTGGTTCCATTGGTGAAGATGGAGTGTTGAAGAAATGGACATCATTCAGCATTGGCCAGCTTATGGAATCGGTGAGCTTAGACCACATTCAACATAAGTAAGAAACTAGTTGATATAGATTTGTGTCTTCTTATGGTTGGTTCGTGGTTTTTTGTCTAGGCGCTTGATGTAGCTGGTCAGGTAGTTGTGTCATCTTTCTCCACTTCTCCGCTTCCTTATGACACAATGACTAACCGCTGTCAAACCTTTGGCTTTGAGATTGGGACGAGACAGAAGGTCTCAAGGTGGTTAGCCACCGAAAACCGCCATAGAATTGTTCAGAATAGTTCTTCACCGGAAGCATCTCCAACTACTGTCAATACAACATCTAGTGTTGGATGAATTGCTCTTGAAAATAACATGGGAGAAACTGAAGACTTGGATGGTCAAATATAAACTACAAGGAGATTGCATTTTAGGAAGTTCAATCGAGAGAGGTTTTGGCCACTCTTTTTATATTCAAAATGCCTGCAACAGCCACGAGTCTGATGTTGATTGGGAAGGAAGCATCCAATTTGTTGACGACTACCCTTTTTCTTTCTCTGGTGGTTCGTAATTGATTTCCATGAGATCTATGTGTTAATTACACTAGGAGGTATATATTTCATTCAATAAAGAGTAGTACGGTTTAGCATTCTTCTAATATCTAAATTGCACGACTCATATCCAAGACGTAGAATCACTTGTCACGTTCTGAAGTATTACTAGGATTCATGTACAAAAGAAGGAATGCTCCTCAACAGTGGCTACTTTTCACTTTTATCTCAGTTCTCATGTCAGAGAAACTATAAGCTTCTACAATGCCGAGACAAGATCATTAGCTTCTTTGCCAACTCCAAGTTCCTGCAGGAGCTGCACCCAAGGACGGTCCAAGTGCAGGCGGCACTATTATCACATCATTTCTATCACTTGCCATGAAGAAATCTCTTCAGAAAGATCTTGCAATAATGACCGGAGAAACCTGTTTTAGATCAGGACCATGTCTTCCACAATTGTCTCCTTCTCCTATGGTCAGATCCGGTTTATTTTGAACGCGAAGAACCGTTCTCGTTCTATTTTAATTTAAACCGGGTAACCAGAACGATTGATTGATATGATAACTAAAGAGTTAAACGTGCTCTTACTTAACATGGAAGCAAAGGCATGAAAGAGTTATAAAACTGAACAGTTCAAACAAACAAAAAAAACAACCAAACCGAGTTTAGGAAACTAGAGTCAAACAAACCGAGTTTAGGAAACATAGAGACAAGTGGGGGAAAATAGTGTTTTTTCTTCAAGAGATTGCAGGCAAAAGAAGAGAGTCCACTCCACCAATAAAGCATATCTCTCCTGCATGTGATATTTAAACAAAGATGTAATGTCAATACAGAGAACCAAAACGAGACCAAACACGATTACTCAAAACCAAAGTAATTTAGTATCTCACCTCAGATTGAGACGAGTTGGAAACGTGCCCTAGGACCCAGATAGGTTTTGCTTTGGTGCAAAGCTGTGACTTGCGACTTGATCATATAAGGCGGACCGGGGCCAACACGTCTGGTGATGATTAAGCGGTGTAGAACGAAAAGATTTTCATGAGTGGGCGCATGTAAAACCCAAAGCAACCAAAGCTCCCCGCCGACATTAACAGCTTCAACGTGAATTTGTTTCCTTGCAATAGAGATTTTGAGTTGCTTGATATCCCTCCCAGGTATATTCCACCATTTCCCAGATCGTGTGTCATTCGTATAATCCCAATTAAGCTTAGCCCGTCCAGTTTTGCAAAAGAAGAAAAGCTTGTCGTCCACCACACATGAGCTGATATGAGTGTTGTTGTGCCTATTAAAAGAATAAGATGGTAGCTCTTCCCACATTCCTGTATCTTCGTTGAAGATGTAAGAATGCTCCCCGTATCTAAAAGTCCACAGATGCATGACGTTCTGGAAGACTTCCATATGGGCATGTCGACCCAAAGGAGGGTGATGCACCATCAATTGCCAAGCTTTAGTGTTAGGATCAAACACCTCGCAGCTAAAATCACTCACAACATAGATTCTCCCTTTGAAAGCTCTTACCGCAGGATCCAGGCGAGTGTGAAGCATATCAGGGAGCTCACACCACGTGTCTTGAACACAATCAAAAGACACAGCACGAGAACTCGGAACCCCGTTTCCACCACCACCGATGAAGTAGATTTTGCGTCCCAGTGCTACAGTGGCGTAAGGGAGATGTCCCGTGATTGTCCGATTGTATGTGAAGACACGGGACGACACGACATCAACCGCCAACATAACCGACTTGAACGGCCCGTCGTCGGAAATGACATAGATAAAGTTTCTATCTGAGACTTGATCTGGTGTGGTCGCTTCTGCATCGATAGCAGCGACCACACCAGCTACGTCTTTCCTCTTAATCAGGGCCAAGAAACCAGCAAGTACACCACGCACCGATCTCCACTCTGACTGGTACAAGATCAACATTACATCTTTTTAAGAAACTGAACAATTAATGTGTCCCCACACTGGAATAGATTACAAACGATACAAGAGGTAGAAGAATCAAATCACCAGCTTTGCGGTAAAGAAAACCAAAGAGACTATGGACAACTGCATTGAGCAAAGGCTTTGACTTTAGATGATTCAGGATCTCGGCAAGCAGGAGAAATACCTACAAAGACAAGCCCATGTCCCATTATGCTTACTATTTCTAAACACGTAAAACAATTCAAAGAGAATGGAAGTACCTCGTGCACAGACAGCATCATCAGTGGTCGTCCATTGATAAAACAATGTTCACCAATTGGTTTATAGACAAGCCACCCTTCTCCAAGGAAGAAGCAATCGCATTCAGACACAAATCAAATCTTAAGTCAACGAAAGTTTCGAGATGCTCAGTTAGCTGACTCGTTGCTGCCATTTACGCACGCAGTTAAGACCTACAGGACGGGAGCAGATGAACACACTTGCCAATTAGATATTTTTTTTTTGGCCAATTAGATATATATGCTAAGAAAAGTGTGCGAAATTTTACGCCTCGAAGTTGACCTAGGGGGACAAAAACAAAACTAAGTCACGGCGGAGATGGCTGCACAGTAGACGAACTGCGGCGACAAGAGTGAGAGAATCGGTATGCGGCGCGGGTCTCTAACGCTCAACGAGGAAGTAAATAAAATATAAAATATAACAAATTGGTCAAAGATGAATAAAACAAAAAAAATAAAAAATTTTTTTTTTTTATAAGGTCTAGGCATTTTGGGTACTAGTTCGGTTTTCTATTCGGATATTTTGGGTATTGGTATGTTCGGGAAAAGAGCTACATAATCCATTTATTTTATTTTTTGTCGTCTATTAGATTAACTTAAATAGAGGTGAAATACATCACCTAGCAAGGAACACATTCCTTCTAGAACCAAGAGCCGGCAAGAAACAAAATCCTTCCAGAGACATAATAGAAGATGAAAAAACACAAACTTCTACTGAATACCAAGCCTAATAAACATTAAGGCATAAGATCAAGCCTAAAACAGGGGATAGTAATAGGGAAACTCAACATCTCACTCAAAGGCAATCCTAAAGGCATGAACACACCACTGAATAAGCACCATGGAAGGAGAAAGGAGACAATCTTGACACTTTCTTGCGGAAACCAACCAAATAAAATCCAGAATCAGATAGTATCCGAACCCGTCGATGTAAACACCCTACAATTCCAACTGAAGTCTTGCCATTGGACCTTGAATCAGGCTCTCCCCGTGCCTTCAACGCACCACCCTCCCACGGCAAAGCTAAGAAAAGCTTCCCGAAAACGTATTATTAATACAGTCGGATATCAGAGACTAACCATTCCGAAACCAATAACGAACAGGGCAACAACCGAACAGTTTCAACGCTTCAGCATCGCAAAAAGACTAACACCTCAAACACTCTTCACACACCGATTAGAGAGATCACTGCCAATCAAGCCAGTGCTAGAAACAAGACCACGCTCCAACCCAAAGAACCTCGACCACCGCTACAGACCACCTAAACAGCAGAGAAGAGAGTGAACCCAGAACTTACTATTCAACCCCACCATAACTCCGACGAGATCGCTTATGGAAGCCGCAAACAGGAGACACTTCAGGCTAACAGAATCCATGGCTCTTCCCCGGGATAGATCTTACCAAGCACTCCTAGAACCACCGCAGAGCCAACTCGGAGACTGAGCCTTTCATCTTTCCAGATCATCTCAAGCAAAGGAGGAACAATATATCAGATCTAGTGAAAGCCACCGCTTTGAGTCACCGCTGGACACCACCATATCCTTTCAAAATCAAAAGTTTAACAACAGAACCTCCACTTGAACAGATCTGCAAGCTCCACAGCAAAAAACCATAAAAACTACAAAAAAACAAAGAAATAAAATGAACAGACCTGGCGGTGGTGCTATCGAAGCCACCACGCGCCGGTAATCGGAGAACTCCGCCGCGCCGCACTCAGGAGACAAGAAGAGGTCGAGAGAGAGAAATAGGGTATATTAAATTAAGTTCAAATCCATTTATTATTTCACTATTTTCTGTTCGGGTAATTTTGGATTTGATTCGGTTTCATCAGTTAAACTGTGAACCAGAAAATACCTACAAAATAAATTTGGTTCCTTTTCAAAACAAGATTGTCATGTCTCCGATCCTGAGTATGATCGTCTAGACGGACCATGGTGCGAGGAGACGCATCAGTCAAGTCACGAGATCTAAAGGCTTTACGAAGTGTATCACAGCTGGGTGCTGCGAGTAAGAAGCTCAACCAGCTGGACAAAGCTCAGTTGGAGCTCAGGTGGAGTGTGTCAGCTCCCTGAGCTGGATGGACTAGCTCACTCAGCTGGACCAGCTGAGGATCAGCTCAACTCAGCTGGACATAGTGTTCAAATCTTGGCAGTTGGCCGACGAACGGGGCGTCGTATGCGATTGTCACTCCTCACATATGTTGTTGCTATGCTATTTAACACCACCAGAAAAATGTCTAAATCTGACTCGTCTTCTTCCATTTGGTTTGCTTGTATTTCATCATACGTTTGTTCTTCTTCTTCAAAGGTCTCCATGATAAAACACCTACAAAAAGAGATTGCTATTTATATTAATAACTGAAATACACGAAGAATCTTTAAAAACTAGACTAACCAAGACACTAACAATAAAGTTACATAGATCATTTACCGACACTAACAATAAAATAAGCTACGTGGTATAACAACAGCATGACATTTTGCTTTGCTAGCTAAAAGCAACAAAAAATATTTAAAAACCCCATCATGAATATTAAACTAAAACCAGTTTGATATTAAAATAACAGTCTAGAAAGAAATAACAGAGCAGTCTAAAACAAATATAATAAAACAAAGATCAATCTCAGTTGACATTGCTTTGGATCCAACCATAGCGTTTTTCTATGGACATATCAGTGAACACATCTTTCATTCCCAAGGAATAGATAAGGGTCACCGCTTTAAATTTGATATGATCATCCAAATTAGGAACCTCTTTCATACCATCCCAAACACTGTTTTTCTTCTTTTCAGCTTCTCTTTTCTCAGCTTCTTTTTGGTGTCTTTCTTCTCTCTGTGTTATGAAGGTGAGGATCTTGCTGGTCATCATTACCATAGCATCACTTTGATCACTGTTTATCTCAACTGAACTGCCAGATGTGTCTGTTCGAGATCGTTTTCTCGAGACAAGTTTTTCCACACGCCTTTTGACACCATTTTCTGGGGATGGTTGCTGAGCATATACATCATCATTGATGTCCTCAAAATTCAAGTTTTCTTGTACTTGACTGTCACCAACAGTGAAGACACGAGCATCCGTGGTATCACCCAAGCCAATTGCAGAGCTACCATTAGCAGTTGCACAATCAAATATGATTTTTAAATCATCAAACTGTTCACTAAAGTCATAGCGTAAAAACTTCTGATTTGGATGTCCCTACAAAGAAAAACTATACTTAAATACAATATAAATAATTAAAAGAATTCATTACTCTATGAACTTATGTAAACCTATATCAGTAAATGATCCTTTCACGTAAACTATATCATATGCAAATATCATTTTATCTCATAAACTAAATTATATCTAACAGAACCCTTGTAATTCAAGAACATATCTAAGAAAAATGATGCAAAATATAGACATACCTTTAAATAGTCATTCCATACTTCATTAGAAGCCATAAATCTTTTCATGATAGGATCCCACCCAAAGCCTGAACTGTTGTTTAAAAGATCAACATAGCATTGATATTGACCTTTTAGGAACTTGATCCTGCTTAGGTAATGCTTGTGGGTTTTTTGGCATCCAAGTCTTCCGTTCAAGACTGGTAGTATTTTATGTTCCACCGTTGCTTTGTTCATTATTCCATTACTGTCACGCCATCCACGTTGAATTCCATCCACAAGCAACTCTATTAAAACCTTGGTTTCCTCTGAATTCCATAGGCTATACTGATTTTTTTCTTTATCACCCATTGCAATCTTATGCGAAGTTAATCAATATTAGTAAAAACATACACACAAAAATATTTATCACAAACAAACAGGTAAACATAAAAGTTCTTAACCCTTTTACAAAAAAATAAAAAACATAAAAGTTCTTGCTACTAGTCTAAGCAAAAAAAAATAATGAAACCAACATAAACTTGCAAGCAATAGCTATAACAATCAAACCATTTTATACACTATGATGAAAAACAAAGAAATAGATCACAAAAAGAGATTAAAAAAGCGAACCAGATTTTTCAAAAAAAAAGAAGAGAGAACTAGAGACTTGCAGTACCTTACGTGCTTTGATGATGAATAGAAGCAAAGAACAATTTTAAGACGCTCCTTTTCTTTATACACAATTGAACTTACCTTATTTTGAATTTTTATATGGAAAATAGATAAACAATAGTTGAAAAAGTTAACATAAAATCACAATAAGTCATCACCAATCAAGCCAAAAGAATATATGGATTCTATAAATATGGGAAGACATATTGTAAGAATCAATGGAAATATTACAGAATTAAAATCATCTTGACTTTTGGAATCAGAATGAATTAGCTTCCCACTAACCCCCCCTTATACTCGATTAAATTAAATATATTTTCAATCGTTTCATTAAATTGTGTATTTAGCTTCCTCAAATCATATTGTTCTCCTTCAAAATAATATTATGAAACTCATCTACCAACCATATAAGATTTGTCATTGAACTATATGTGACAACACTAAATATATCATGATTAATGACAAACCAAATCCTTGTATGAACGGAAATCATATATAATGAAACATAAAAAGTTAAAGTTAACAACTAACAATTCTATAAACGTTAGAAATACTATTTAAACTTAAAACAACAACATTATTTAAACTTCAAAATAAATTTATTCGTAACTTAACTTCAAATGTAATGTCAATCATAAACATTAATATTAACCAAATAAAACTATATATTAAAATAAATATTTGAGTTATTATTGTAGGTACTCAAAAATATATTAATGTGTTTACGAAACATATTATAAATTTAGATTAGGTATGGTACAAGTTTTTATAAGAATTTTAAAGATATTAAAGATCTGGATGTGATTTAATATTGCACTATTATCTATAGCTTTATATTTGTTGATATTCATATCTATAGCTTTTTGCAGGATGTTAATCTCTTCATATCTATAGTTGGTTTTACGTAATAAAAATGTATTACTTTTATCAACATAATAGTCACCATCAAGTGTAGTAGGAGTAAGAGATATTCATATCTTTGTGGCTGCAGAGAAGCAGAACCATCCAAGATGGCTAGAGATTTGAAGAATATTGCACTATCTTGTGACGAAATGAGTTCAAATTTGAGTCTTTTCCACTTGTTATGAACATATATGAACAATATTGATGATACTTATTTACTGAGCGTCCATTTTAGTAAGAAAGTTATCTTCTTGATTAGTTCAATCTTGTAATCAAAACACTAGATGTATATATATTCAACCAAAATTTTACAACCAAAGGATTAAATGTACACATTAAGACATAACGATTGTCAAAGCTGACATAACATAGATGCAATGTTCTCTTAACACTATCTGCAACCAATTTGAGTTTGCCTTGAATCAAATCTTCTGTAGCAGAACGATTGACTACCATTGTACGACATTCTCTGTTTATATTTCTCCCAGTCATCAACACATTGCTAACAAGTTCGGGCCTCCATGGCTTTTAGTTGTAAAACTGTTTTATATATCTCTATCATAATGATTTTCTAGACATAGCTGGATTTGAGGTCTACACTAAGATTCACATAAACAAATTGTTGTATAAACACACAATATGATTTGTCTAAGTTCTTGGTTTGAATTATCCGACAAAGAAACGTAACGCTGGTTCTTCATTGTGTGCCTAGTTATTGGTGTCCTTTGAATGGAAATTATTAACTATAAATATGATCTTGGTTTAATATGGTTCAATTTAAGTTGGGTTATTGAGTCTGTAAACCGGATGTAAACCGGTATATGGTTACTATATAATAATGCTATAATTTGAGTGTAAGACATAAATTAGAGTGTGTCAAGTTTGAAGCATTACATCTATACAAAGAGTAGCACACAATAAACCGGATGTAAACCGGTATATGGTTACTATATAATAATGCTATATGGTTACTATATAATAATGCTATAATTTGCTATAATGTCAAGTTTGAAGCATTACATCTATACAAAGAGTAGCACACAAGAGTCAAAAGTCAAGTTATGCTCTTGTTTTGTGGAAAACACCAAACATGAAATAAATAAATAAAAAAAACTAGCACATAAAAAGTACTTAGCACCAAGAGTAGATTACCAGAACAAATTTCCTCACCTTGCGGAGGAAAGCATCAACGAAGTTGAACCAGGCTCTGCTCCAAGGAGAATCAAAAGAGAGAGATGCAAGTATTCCAACAAGTATTGTGACATAAGCTGCAGTTAAACTCCAGTAGAAGGATACCATGTCTATTGTGTATTCATCATCATCTTCCACTTCATTATCTTCTTCTCGAATGTTATTACTGTTGCAGCTTTTGTTGGTTGGCTGTCCACAGAGAAGAGAATTACCTAAATAGCTTTTTGCATCAAAAGTATTGAACTGTTTTCCTTGTGGAATGACTCCTGGTAAGTTGTTGTATGAGACATTAAAGACCGCAAGGATGCTCAGCTCCGTTAGTTGTGGTGGGATCTTGCCATGTAATCTGTTGAAAGAAAGATCAAGACTTTCCACATTCTTTAGACCTGAAAAACTTGTTGGTATCACCCCTGATAAATAGTTACGAGAGAGATTGAGAGCATGCAATTCAAGAAGACCTCCAAGCTCTATTGGGATCTCACCACTCAACTCATTCTGGGAGAGATCTAATCCGCAAAGTTGTAGGAGATTTCCACCCATATACGCATCATATCTGTGTTTTGTAGGGAATTCAATTTTAGTCTGGACTCCTGCCGAGTGGGCTATAGTACGTTCTTCTATTACAACCAGCGATATAAAATATAGACCGATGTTATTTTCTCTGTCTACCCGGCTAGGAGTAATGCCGCTTCCACTATCATCGTAACCATAGCTGAAATCATAATAATTTGATGATGTGTGCTCTTTCCCCGAATTAAATGATATATTGCTAAGACATGAAGGTATGGACCCACTCAATCCGTTGTTAGCAAGATCCAGAAGGTGAATATTGCTTAGACCACACAATCGATGCGGAATATGGCCCGTAAAATTATTACCCCTAAGAAGAAGAATATTGATGTTTTGGCTATTGATGAAGTCGGGAATATTCCCAGACAACCTGTTATTTCTCAGATCAAGTATGCTGACATTCAGTAGCAGTGTGTCTGGAATACCCTTTGAGAAATTATTGTCTTGCAGAAGTAATACTATAGGAGTTTCAGAATTTACATGTGGAGGTATATCACCTGATAACATATTTGCAGAGAGGTCCAGTAGCCCAAGATATGACATGTTGAATAGTGACATAGGTATTTCACCTTCCAGCGAGTTGTTTGAAAGCAACAGTGCATTTAAGTTGCTAAATTCACCAATCCAACTGGGAATTACACCCTTAAGATTGTTGTTCGAAATGTCAAGAATGTTCAAGTATTTCAAACTCCGCAAACCTTGTCTAATCTTTCCTGTAAACGAGTTGTTATCCATAGCAAGAACAGTTATATCAGTAAAGTTAGCTGGCTCTCGGAAAACCTCTCCACTTAGTTTGTTGTGTGAAAGCTTTAAGATTAATAAGGAATAACAACCCTTTAGAAAACTTATTGGTAGCTTTCCATGGAAACTATTGTGAGACATATCCAGATGTTCAATACTTTTCATGTTACCAAGAGAAGCCGGTAGATTTCCTTGAAAATTGTTCTTTGCTAGATTCATGTATTGTAAATGAGGAAGTATCCACCCAATGTTCTGAGGAAATTCATCACTGAACTCATTCATTGACAAATCCAAGAAAAGCAAATTATGAGCAGATTCCGGTAGCTGAAAGCTCACAAAAAAATTATTTTGTAGAAGCAGAAATTCAAGTTTTGAATTGTTAGCCACCAGCCATGAAGGAAAATTTTCCGCAATTTTGTTATCAGAGAGATCAACATGGCGCAAACCTTTCTGGTATAGAAGAAAACGAGGAACATATTCCAAGTTGCAAGACTGTAATGCAATAACACTCAGCTGAAATTTTGGCTTCCAAGATTTTTCAATTACTACTTTGAACGTGTTGGATTTTGAACTAGATTTCAACACTCTAAGCTCTGAGAGATTGGTTAGAGAACCAAGTGAGAAGATGCCTTCAAAGTTGTTATCAAACAACGACAAATATTCAAGAGATCTAAGGTTACCGAGAGAAGATGGTATTGTACCAGTCATTTGGTTTGATGAGAGATCAAGAACTTGAAGTCCAGTCAAGCTAGTTAAACATAATGGAAAATGTCCTACTAGTTTGTTTTCTTTGAGGTCCAGCTCTTGCAGGTTCTTCAACTTGCAAATCCCTGGGGGTAATCAAATACAGAACTTTGGTTCAAGTAAATAAACGTGATTTCAACCATATCTTTAAAAATAAAAAAGCGCAACATGAAATTATTTGAGCAAACTTGCCTTGCAGTCCCATTGAGCTAAAAAAATTATTACCCCTTAGACTCAGAGCTTTAAGATTCTTCAAGGGAGATGACTCTGTCATAATAAGAAAAAAAACTTTAGAAAGATGCATGCTCATCTCAACGCTGATTAGAAGTTTTATTATGCAGCCCCAATAAAAAGGGACAAGACAGTAGTTCTGACTTCTGAGCTACCTTGTATTGGTATGGAGTCATTAAGTCTGTTCCAACTCATGTCCAGCAATTCCAAGTTTGTCAAATCTCTAAGTTCTGAAAGGGAGTCCAACAAACATAATAATGCTATAACTTGAGTGTAAGACATAAATTTATAATGATAACTGTTGGAATCAATTTCAACAATTAATTAAAGTAGGTCCAAGCAAAATCATCACGAGCTCGACGTCGATCAAACCCAATGAGATTAAAATGGTATCCTAAAGATCGAAGAAGCAGTTAGAAGAGGAGAATATGTTATAAAAGAAGAGCTAAAGCATAGAACAAGGATACAGAAAAAACCCTAGAACATATCACTACTCACATCGACCTCACTCCATAGACTTCTAGTTTGCTTATAACTTTTACTTTTCATTGTTATTCTCGATCTTGTTACTATTTTGTATCGAATCCCATATTCAATAAAGTCCATTTTTGTCAACCGAATTTCGATTGTATCCTTGTGTTTAAGAGCATCGTTGCCCACATCATTTGTCTTCACCTGATTAAACTTTTGATCACTACAAAATACTTAGTGTGGATTTTAGGATCTATATTTTGGCGCCAATTGTGGGGAAGATAAACGAAAAACTCCCTTGCTAAGAACCCGATCTAGGATTTCCAAGAACGATTATGGATCCCAACGCAATCAACCCCGAAAACGCCCGATCTAGATCGACCAACGTCGATCCTACCAGAACCACTCTAGGAACCGAGCCGGCTTCCGTCGATCAAACAAACGTCAACGAAGCCATCGACGCAAGCAAAAATAAACAAATTCCATCAAGTGGAATTTCGATCACCGATAGGAGTACGGTCTCGGATCGAAACCTTCCTGCTGACCGAAATGGATCTCAAGTGTGGAATCATCCGACGGACAGAACGACACCCGAAGATCCGACCCAAACAGGGAGACCAAGATCTCCAACACACTTGGTCCAAACTCAGGAAGAAGTTGGGGAGCTCAGGGGAATGGTTTCGACGCTCATTGATAAATCTCGTGACCAAGAGATCGCTTACCGAACCATCGCCAACCGCCTGGAACAAACCGAGAGGGAACTCGTCGAATACTGAGCAAATCCCAGAGAAACAGTCCGACAACACTCGGATCCATCCCTGAAAACACCACTCCCTCAGAACCGCGGAGCCTTCGCCTCCCCCGAGCTGGCCAGCGCTCGATCAAGAAGCTACGTGGGGGAAAATTTGCGACAGACCCCCCCCCCCCGGAAGGGACGATCTATCGAAGTTTGGATTATAACGGACAGGGTGAGGTCGAAAACGAAATACAAGCCCTCAGAACTACCCCGATCCCAACTAGAAACAGGCCAGCTGAAGCACCTCTGCCGCAACATCGAGCTCGAGATGACCGATTTTCCTTCGGAGGTGACGTATCTCAGCAAACAGCACCGCAAGATCCCATCTCGGCATACGATCCTTTCAGTTTGTAACAGCAAAATCCACAAGGAGATGACCAAAGATCTCTAAATCAAGCAAGAGCATTCAGAAACTAAGTCGAAAAGAACGACGCCGAACTCAAAAGGATACATGCCATCGTACATATGGCGACAAGTTCAGCCCCCAATATTGATCAAGTTATTGAAGAGTCTCGCCGAACTCCATTCACGAACCTAATAACCAGCGTAAGGTTACACGAGGTCGACAAGATCAAATTCCCCGAATATTCAAGTAATTCCGATCCGAAAGCACACGTGCGAGCCTTCCGCTTGGCCGTGTCGAGAGCGCACCTCAATGACGAAGAAAGGGAATCAGGCTATTGTCATTTATTCATCAAAAATCTCACAGGACCCGCCCTGAAATGGTTCGCCAGACTCGAGTGGAATTCAATCGACTACTTCACCCAACTTGTATCGGCATTCTTAAAGCAATATTCGGTGTTTATAGAAACACGCGCCACCGAAGCCAACCCGTGTAACCTAAAACAAGCACCTTTCGAACCACTAAAGACCTATATAAACAAATTCAAAGAGCTCAAATCCATAATATCGAGCCTAAACGAAGTAGTCGTGTTAGCAGCTCTAAAAATGGCGTATGGTTCTCTTCTAAGTTCAGGGAGGAAATGACGGTCTGAGCTCTCACCTCACTAGACGACGTGCTGTATTGTGCGTCCTATTTCGCAACTCTCAAAGAAGAAATAGCCACCATGAAGGAACAATACCACGCCAAAAAGTACGGAATAACTAAAAAACGAATATCCCGAAGGAACAGACCACCAAAGGATAACACTCGTACGCAATTGACTAGTCAGCACAGAACAAATAATCGACGTACGATCCGAGCAAGTATTGCGACTTTGATATACCATGATTTTGGCCCACTTTTAGCCATGGTATTGATATGTTTTTAAAAGTTTTATATATGTTTTGGAGTCTATTAGGTATGTTTTCAGTTTCATGAGCATTTTGAAGTAAAGTGATGATTTAGGTGCCCTATTGGAGCTTAAAGGAGAATTTTCCGAGATGACTAAGAAGATTAGACAACAAGGATACATATCGATCGATACACACCCTGTGTAATCGATCGATGACGCTTCTATTGAAGATGAAGTCGAGATACTCCATCCATCGATGTACACCATGTACCATCGATCGATATGAAGCGTGGAGAACAAGTCCGACTTGGCCGACTTGAAGCTCAAGTCTTCCCAATATTACAATTATGCCTCTGGCGAGTATTTAACCTAATGGAACTCATATTTCTAGTTTTTGCCTATGTGTTTGGAAAAGGATGCTTTCTTGTGCTTTGTATGCTTTTGAATCTTTTCAAAGTTCTTTTGTTCTTTTGATACTATTCTATACTTAGCAATAAAGTATTTCTTTTCATCTTAATTTCTTAAAGGTTATAGAATTCTAGATTTAGAAGAAACACACAAAGAGATTTGTTGTTCCAAGAACCAAAAGTTCAATCTTCTAATCTATGAGNGCTTTGTATGCTTTTGAATCTTTTCAAAGTTCTTTTGTTCTTTTGATACTATTCTATACTTAGCAATAAAGTATTTCTTTTCATCTTAATTTCTTAAAGGTTATAGAATTCTAGATTTAGAAGAAACACACAAAGAGATTTGTTGTTCCAAGAACCAAAAGTTCAATCTTCTAATCTATGAGTTTCTATTATTCCCTTGCTGTTATGAATCTCTCAGTTATGTCTGAGTAGATTTCTTTGTTAGATTTAGGGTTCAAATAGTTATGAGGGATTAGCCCCAACTATGGAATGTTGAGTTGTTGATATTCATTATCCAAATGAACCCTAATGCTTACTCTAGAGTAGCTACCTAGAGTACGGTTTTGGATGTGATTTAACTTGTTAATCATTGTCCTGAAATCATTTGGCATAAGCTTAGATCCCCTAGGGAAGTGCGAGAACCGGTCTATGATCTTAGTGAACACAGTTTCGATTCGATCTTATGCTATATCGATCGATACTCCTATAGAGTTATCGATCGACGGCAACCCATATCGTCTGATATCGCTGTCAAAACATCGGTTGATATTGCCGGCAATAAGATCAAAGGATGAGTCTATTTAGCGACCGCTATTAGATCTGTCTAAGAATCGAAGTTTTCATATATCTTGCAATAAATTCACTAAAACATCTGTAGCATAATTCTGATTATCTGAATAGCAACCTTGAATCTAACTACTTTCTTTTATTGTTTTAAACAAAAACATATTCTCTTAAGCAACTTACCATTGCTTACAAAACTGCAATTTACTATTTTTACTTAATCAACCTATCATAATCACTTAGGATTACATCTATTGTGCTCGCTAGTTCCTTGTGGATTCGATCCCTAATTACTACAACTGAACCTCTTATTTGACAGAGTAATTCACTTCTTAGTGTTAAACATTTGAGTGATACCAAATTAGGCGCCGTTGCCGGGGAACTTTGATAGCCATTAGATTTAATCTGATTAGGTCTAGGTTATTTTTCTTTTATTGTTTAATTATCTTTTGACACCAAATTTTTTTTTTCCTTGTCTTTTTCAGGTACATGCCCAGCAGTACTAGAAGCAACAAGAACAAACAACTTGTGTACTCAGAAGACCCTCACAGCTTGGAACGTAGCATCCGCAAAGACCTACGCTCCGCATCGATCTACATCAACACATCTTTGTCGACAGATACTTGCCTACCACAGTCGACCGAGACACACTCAACGTCGACCAATACTCTCACCGTCACATCGCTCGACATCAACAACCACTCGTCGACCGATACCCTTCATCTGATATCGATCGATACACCTTACCTTACATCGATCGATACTAACCGGCGAGACATGGTAGAACCTATTATTCTCACTACCAATGAGAATGGAGATCTGCGTGATCGAGATGGTCACCTGCGTAATGCAGCAGGTCAGAAGATGAACGCTCAGAAGGAGATCATACCTGAGCAAGAAACTGCACCTACAGACATCATTCAACCTGTAGAAGAGGCTAACCAAGCTAGATCTTTGGCTGACTACAACCGTCCAGATCAGTTCTATTCCAACCGATCAGTCATCCTCCCTCCTGCTATTCAGAGAGGAGATTTCGAGCTTAAGCCGCAGTACTACACCCTTGTAGGACAAATACCCTTCTGTGGGTTGTCCAATGAGCATCCTATGGACCATCTGGAGAGGTTCGAAGATCTCATAACCATCACCAAAGCTAATGGTGTTCCTCAAGACTATCTTCTCTGCAAGCTTTTCAAATATTCTCTATCTGGAGAAGCTTTGCAGTGGCTGAGGCAACTACCACCAGGTTCTCTCACAACCTGGAGTGCCATCAAAAACGCATTCCTGCGTAACTTCTTTGATGAGTCACGCGCTGAAGAATGGAGAAGAAAGATTGCTACATTCACTCAGAATCCCGAAGAGTCATTCAAAGATGCATGGAACAGATTCAAGTCATACCAAAGAGATTGCCCGTACACCATGGATTCAACAAAGTGCAACTTCTTTGCACTTTCTACAGAGGCATCACCTTGGACTATCAAAGAGCTCTTGATACAGCTAGTGATGGCAACTTCAACACCAGGAATCCACAAGAGGCT